TCTTAATTGTAGAAAGCAGTTTATTCTTTATTCTCGTATGGTTTATTCATCCTTTTCTCTTAACTTACATTGATTAAAGTGAAATGTCACTTGCAGTAAACGTCACTGATAACGTCTCCACAGTGTGGTTGACTTGCTTCCTGTTATTATTAATGTGAGTCAGATGTCAGAATGTTTTTGTCACAGACTTGGTGTCTGTCACTGCACTGTGTAGACTGGCAGCGCACAGATAAACAGCCTCATCCTTCTCCTGAATGCTGGGTATCTTCAGAGACCACTTCTTCTTCTGGACTATCTCTGCCTCAAAGCCAGATTTGAATCCTTCTTCAAAGTTTRCACTGCTGSCMRCTAAATAAACCACTAACTGAGGTTCTTTTCCTCTCTGCTGTMTGTACCAGTACATAWAMTKATAGTCGGTGTCATTCTGGTAGCAGTGYATTTCTGCCGAGCCACTGGGAAACCTTGAGATGTAGTGGGGCCACTGAGTGATCAGCACAGAATGAGAAACTCCTGAAATGAAAGAAAACAGAAAAGCTATGAGCATAATGAACATGTATATGATGATATATCTATACAGACTAAAGTAAAATTAAAATGTTTCACCTCAGTGCTACCAATATTTAAAATGTAGGAATATTTTCCTCCAAAATTTAGAGAGCGAGAGAAAGCGAGCATTGTGTTTTTGTCTTTAAAGATTTTTACTTTACCTGCAGCCCAGAGTACAAAGAAAGTCAAGGTGTTGAGGCTTGGAATCATTTTGATTTACTGAGGTAAACACCTGCAAAGAGATAATGAAAAGCATTTTTAACTGACATAAACGTCCTATCTCTACACTACAAAGTTATTGAAAACTTGTTTGGATTACAGTTCATTCTTTGCTCCATTTAAAATGATTATTTAAGAGTGATAAGTGTTTTCATGACTTCATACCCGTAATACAGATGACAGCAATGATGAATGTGAGGTGATGAGGGGCTGTCATGTTGAATAGTGAGGAAGCGACTGGAGTCTCTGCTGTGTTTTGAGGATGAGGAGGTGCAGGAAGTGATGTATAGAAATCAGAGGTTGACAGACAGCTGAAGAGAAACTGAAGTCTTGTCATCTGGTATTAAAGGTGTTTTGTGAAATACTGCAGTTTGTTCAAGTGCTTTTAGTTTGATTATGGAAAGTGATCCATATTTTGTGTCTCCACTCGGATCACCAGCTGTTCTGAAGTGTGCACTTAATGGCTCTTCTACGCTGCTGTAATCATACACTTGCCTTGCAATAATTTTCAGAGCTTCTTCCCCTGGGGGCTGCTGGTACCGCAGCATCACTCTGAAGTTGGTCTGATTGTGGGTACAGACAAGCTGCACATCATCACCAGCTTTTTTGAAGAGATCAGAGGGAGACTAGTGGACCTGAATCCCCAGAGAAATACCTGCTGTAAGCACAGAGGGACAGATTATTGTTTTAAGAAGTGAAAGTTAAGACAGTAAAAAAAGTACTTAACAGTGAAGCAGTTGTTACCTGTGAGAAAAGTGCAAAAGAGAAATGTAATCCTCATAATGAGATCTGACTTGTCACATAACAGGGTGTCTGTTGTGAACAGTGAGGAGGCGTTGCACACATTCATAGGTATTTTTGAATCCTCTTTCATAACTGCAATATCATATAAAATTACATCAAGCTAAAGTAAAACCACAAGAGCAGGTGTGTGTGAAAGTAGCTGTCTTATTCAAAACCACAAAGGAGAAAACTGTTTTGGTTAAATTCAGTCAGGATTTTTGGAATTTCGAAAAATATGCCAGAGTTAGCCATAGAGGCAAATTTTCAGCTTTAGTCCCTGGGCAGGCAACAAAAGCCGTATGTTAGGAATAAAAGTATTAAAAATACAGACAAATATGAAAGCAATGAAAACTCTAGGGACACAAATAGTCTTACATAAAAGCTATAGAGCAAGAGCTTACACATTGACAAGAGAGCAGCTACCAACCTGAGCATAAGGGTAAGGGTTTTTTCACAGTTTTTATATTTTTCCCAAATCCCCAGAGAAAAATAAAATCCTTATCATATGGCTGTTCAATTTGACATCTTTGAAGTACAAATATCTGATGAGTGTCTCCTGGTGAGGGCTGGTACCATACTATTGTCCTGTATTCAGTTGTATCACGGCTGCAGAAAATTTGCAGAGGACGTCAAGACCCAAACTAACACCTGCACAAAGAGAGAAGTAAACATCTTTTAAATGTGATGATGCATTTAATTGTCTTTTTAAAATGATTACCTGACAGGACACACAAAATTAGAAGGCAGTTAATTTTGTCCATATCAACATAAAACATATACTTGACAGTTTTGTAGATGTCAGTCACTGAAATCAGATCACATTGATCGTCTCTGTTCAGGATGAGGAACAAAACTCCAACAAGGAGAGGAAATGGATGAACCTTGTATTATATATAT